CTAATGGATTTAATGTTACAAAATATGCAAAGCTACTTGAAACAATTTCAAATCCCAAGCATAACTAATCTTTAAGAAACTGGCACTTGTTGAGTTTTTGTGTAATATTGAAGAGGAACGTGCTCAATGATCTAAAAAGTGCTTGCAGTACTCTTCCCTTTTTCAAGTATATGCATCTATGCTAGGGCAATTTTTTTTTTTTTTAAGAAAACCAAAACACTGTATTGCAGTAGCCTGAGAGTACAGACAGAAGCAGTTAAAAGAATGTGCTGTCTTCTTCTTTTTTTTTACAAAATTCTTTTATTTAACTTTATTTATTTATTTAAATTTGACCAGAAAGGGACAGAGTAAGAGGGAAGGAGAGAGAGAGAGAAAGTGAGAAAGCAAGCTGCCAGGTCCAGGACTCAAACCACAGTCGGCCATGTGGGAGTCCAGCACCTTTAACCACCATGCCACCTGCTAGTCCCGCACTGTCTTCTTTTAAGCCACACATCAAAGAGATTTGCTGTGGGGCAAACCAATGCCACTTTTACTCTTATGCAGTTGTTTGTTCATAAGGATATTATTTATGTTTATATGTAATTAATTTATTATTTTAAATAATATTTTAAAAATAACTTAAAATGCTTTAACCTGATAGATATCAGTGCATATAATTATAATAATTTATAATAGGTATGACACTAACTTTTCAGAGTGCAAAGGGGCCCTGAGGCCCAAGTGTTCAGGAACTAATGCACCGAAGCTAAGTTAACAATAATAACATCACCACCCCCAAAGCTCATCTGTACACATGCCACCATCTAACCACCACTCCCTGTCCTTCCACTCATGCACTGCCCTTTCTCCTTGGAAATCTCCAATCTACTGGCTCTCCTATGTTTTTCCATCCATCGTCCCTGTCATGGCCTTGCCTCCCTCCTAACCCAGTATATAGTCTGGACTCCAGCAAACCCCTGGCCTCTCCCTTTCCCAGTAGACTGAGCTTACTACCACCCTGACTGTAATAGTCACCTGCTCAGTACCTGCTGCTAACTGTCCTGGAGACAACTGCAGAACTGAGCTCACTGGTCTAATCTCAGCCCTGCTCTACTGAATCCCCCATTCTCATTTACAGATAATTCCGTCACATCCTCTTCCCCAATCTACTCTACTCTCAACTGCCTTGCCCACCTCTTGTCCTCCCTCACCCTCTCACCCTGCTTTAGGCTGCTGTGTCCTTATCTGCTCTGATTCCCCTTCTGCCTCATTGCTAGCTGTTTTTTCTGTCTCCTTTTATAGGTTCTTCTTTCTCTGCCCAGTCTACAAAGATTGGAGTCATGCAGTGGTTTGTCCTTGACTCTCATCTCTATCTAGATATTTGCTTCCAGTGCCCTAGCTAGCTAGCTCTTGGCCGTGAACACCACCTCTAAGGCAGGATCTCCTGTATTCTAACCACAGCTCTGAGCTCTTGCATCAGCACCAGATTCATGGTCCTTGTGCCTTCCTGGCATCTTCACTTGGATATCTAAAGGGCATCTTAATACACATAACTGAGTTTGGGTTCCCTATCTCATAAATGGCACCCCATGTCCCGTCTTTACCCTCAAGTTGAGAATCATTCCCCTGTGTTCATTACACCTCCACCCAAGTTATGGAAGTTCTGTGGTCTCTACCTTTCAACTCCCCATCACTGCCATGATTCTCATCCAGGAGCGTCATCTTTCCTACATAAGCTTTCTTACCTACACTCTGTTATACTTTCCTAGTCTCCCTGCTTCTGTTTTCACCTCACTACAGTCCAGTTGCTATCCATCAGCTATATCTTTCCTAAAGCATGAAGTAGCCAAGTCACTCCTCTGCATGAAGCCTACCAAGGGCAGCCCAAGGCAATTAGGGTAAAACCAGACTCCTTTATACGAACTCCAGGCCCTGTGTGGTCCAGTCTGCTCTTACACTCTGACTCCTTCCAGCATGCCCCCCTGTCACTCTGGCCCTCCTTCCTTCACCAATACCAGTTCTCCTCTCAGAGTCTAAATTTACAGTCATTTCTTTCTTAAATCTCTACCTTTGACCTTTTTATTGCACCGCCTAATCGTTTAATTCTTGGTCAGATGTGAACTCCCTCAGAAAATTTCTCTGTCTGCCCTAGCTAAAGAGCACCTCTCTGCCCTCTACCCTCAAGCCAAGCCTGGCATGCCATAACACATGGTCCCGCTTTGTTTTCTTCCGAGAACCTCACATCCTCTGTGATGTAGCTGTTTTGTATTGATGTCCCTCTGGCTCCCTTTATGTGAGCCAAAGTTCCAAAAGGACAGTCTTGGGCAGCACTCCATCAGGAGTGTCTGTGTCATAGTAGGTGTGCAGCGTTTGTTTTTTGCATAAGAAAATTAGTTACTAACGTGCAGCTGTGATTATGAAACTAGGAATATGATCGGTACTGCACGGTTGCCTGGCAGTCATTTTCAGTGTTACCTGTAGCCTGGTTTCCTTTTCCCCTGTGGCCTTAGAATTAGTTCCTTCCTTCCTTTCCTTGTGGCTTAGGGTGTTAGGGCCAAGATGGAAGCTGATAATTTTATTTGTTCTGTTAGCAGCAAGGAGAATAATTAATGGTAGTTTGAAAAGCAGAATTATCATCCTTTGCATTTATCTTAGCACCAAGATATTTGATAGAAATTTGTCTGCTATTTTATGATGGAAAATTCCGATAGTCTCTTTTCATTGTAACCCCATACAAATTTTTGTCATGTCTTTTTTAGTACTCCAATTTTCTTTCATCTTAATAAAATCCTTTAAGCCTTAGATTTTGATATGATATGCATAAATGTTTTGAATTTTGTGTTAATCTTCCTAGAATTTGTTAAACCTGGGCAGCCTATCAGAATTTTATAAGCTAGAAAGTTACACAGAAGTAGAAAAAATTGCTTACTGGAAGATTTCACCAATAGTTGAAAGATTCACTTTCTCTTTTTAAACTTTGCTGTAGTACTTATGTAAACCATTTACTTAGCAATTTAAGCCATTAGTATGTTTCTCTGCTTAGTTCTTCCTAGATTAAAGGTATTTCTGGCATGAAAGTATCTGACCTTTTGTCTCTCTCTTTTTCTTTTCTTTTTTTTTTTTTTTAAAGAATTACTTAACATTTATTTATTGAAATTAGACCAGAGAGGAGCAGAGTGTTCAAAAGAGAGAAAGTGAGCTGCCAGGTCTGGGATTCGAACCGTGGTTGGCCATGTGAGATTCCAGTGCCCTTAACCACCACACCACCTGTTGGCCCCACCTTTGTCTCTTAATATTTATCTGTTGTGATTTGAAACACAACTGATAATGAGCAAGTGCTTTCCCTGGTTGAAAATCAGGCTATGAAGTAAAATAAAAATGTATACATCTGTCTATATTATTGAATTAGAATTTCTGGATACATATTCAAGTGTTCTTTTATTGGTACAAAAATGGATTGCTTAACTTATGGCTTTTGTGTCTTTAAATACTAATATACTGAACTTGAGAATGATTTAAGACTGCAGTTAACAAATATGTTTTTAATCTTTTGTGTTGCATTGAAAATAGTATTTACATTTCTCATTGATAATATAATAAAGTACATTTATTAATCATTCATAAAATAATCAATAATTACTAAAATAATGATTACGATTACTGATTGAGTATTGTATTGAAGTCATTATCAGTGTATATTTTGAGCATGTTTTAACAAGTGATGATTAACTTAAATTTTGAACTTTAGTAACGGGCCCAATTTGGCTGTTTCTATGTAGGGTGGACATGCATGCAATGATTCTTGCTACCTTTGAGATAAATTATACAACTTGTGTTTCTACACATTACTCTTAAATATGTTCTGAGAGATGAGGGTACTGAGACTTGATGCTTTGTGGCACCTGGTCCTTTTCCGTGTGGTGTTCCACCTCTGTTCTTCTGTTCTTGGTATGGTGCACCCCGTGTCACTCCTTCCAGAGAGGCCTGAACCTCTTACAGCTGATTCTCTGTTTCACTTTTCCACTGACCTGTATCTCATGGTAGACAAGCTGAGGCAAATTTGCCTCTCTAGTGTCTGTGGTGTGTTAGGCTCAAGTTTTCTGATCTATCACTGTTGAGTCTCTCAAGAGTTCGAGGACACCACTATTTTTTTTGGGGGGGGGGTTGCTATAGGGTGCGTGCGCTTGCCAGAAGACAGAGAGAGATAGAGATACAGAAAGCGAAATCACCCCCCATGGTGGATGGCCACAGTGCAGTCTCTTCTCCTCCATTCTCCTCTCAGGATCTTGGGCATGCACACACATGCACCAGGTGTGAGTTTAAGCTACTGGGTCTGGGACTCTAACCACGGTCGACTACATGGGAGTCCAGTGACATAACCATTGTGCCAACTGCTGGTCCTGAGGCCCACCACTATTATGTATTTAGATTTTTTTTTAGTTAGGTCCAAATTTCAAAGATCACTCTTATTAGAACTTAGTTTTCTATAAATGAAAATAATGAAAAATGGAAAATGTGTGTGTGTATATATGCATATATATATATATGCATATATATATATATATTTTTTTTTTAATAGAAGGAATAAGGTCAAGTCCTGATGCTGAAATTTCATGGCCTTAAGTAAATTGCTTAAGATTTTTGCCCTCTCTCTCTGTTCTTTTTCCAAATGGTAATGGTGATTATACTAACACAAGATTGTTGTAAAAAAAAAAAAAAAAAAAGTCCTACACATACTAGTTTTTACCTCTAAGAGGACTCTATTTTACCTAAAACATGGGTTTTTCAGATTAAAATCTTTTAAAAATTTAGTTCACATACAATTGAAAATATACCAGACTTTAAATATTCACTTTTCTCTTTATTCTTACAGCTGTTATTGAAAAGCATGTCTTTTCCATAGGACGTGTTTTGGAGGATGGCTGCATTTGAGCAGATGACTGTAGGTCCTGAATGAGAAGGACTCTCAACAGCAGGCTTCACGTTTCATGATTGAGAAGGTCTCTAATGCTGATTTGCTCCTTGGTGTTTTCCCTTTTTCTCCATAAGGAGATGGGAGCATTGGCTGATGGGCCTGTGGAGGGTATGTCACCCCCTTATGCAACACTGAGCACCCTCATCCGGTGCCTCTCCCGTTTCTGACATGGGGTTCACACTTCGTTCTATGTACTCACTACTGCCAAGTAGGTGTTAAGAACTTTCTATTGGCCAGGGTCTATTCCAAGTCCTGGTGATAGTCCTTATAATTGAGGACACCAGGTACATTCAGGTACAGGGAATGCAGAGAGGACAACATACACATAATTACATATGTCAGCATGTCAGTGGTGTGCTAACGTACAAATAGGGTCAAAAGGTGGAGGAGAACTGAGTGTGTATGTCTGTGAGAAGGATGTTTTAGGCAGCCTGGTCAGGGAAGGCCTTTCAGATAAGGTAATGGTGGGGCTAAGGCCAGAATGAAGTGAGACTGCTTTCAGTGCGTCTGCGGTAAGAGCCCTCCAGGCAGAAAAGCAGCAAGTGCCAAGGCCCTAAGGTGAGACTATATTAGGTGTGTTTGAAGAAGAGGTTAGTATGGCTGGAGTAAATGAATAGGAAAAGTATAAGGGACCTAATGAGGTAGGACCTGATGCTGTTGTTGGGTCTTGGGCTTTTGTACTGAGTGGATCTGAAGCCACTGGAGGTTTTGGCCAGCAGAGTGAGATAACGAGACTTACCTTTTGAGGGGATCACTCCAGGTACTATGTTGAGAATAGACTGAAGATAAGTTGAGAGGAGACAGGGCAGTCAGTGAAGAGTCTACTGCAGAAGTTTAGGGGGAGATGACTGGATTTGACCAGGGCTGGTGAGAAGTGACCAGAATCTGGACATGTTTGATGGTAGACCTACAGGATTTGTTGTGGGTCAGAGCACATCCGTGTGGCTTCCCTCTCCCTGGCAAGGTGGCTGGCCTAGTGCGTGTTCCTCATGGGGGGAGGCATGGTCCTGATGAGGCACTCAGCCTTTCCAGAGTTCTTTTTGTGCCTTGAGGAAGGCTTGATTCCCAACAACAGATTGAAAAACAAGATGGTGCTCAGAGGACAAGTTTTCTTAATTTAGAAGCTCACTTCAACACTTATGGCATAAGAAATCTTGAAAGCGATACCTTAGAAAAATCATTGTGAGTGCCGTCCATTTTTTCTTCAGCCAAGAAGGACGTTGATGTAGAGGCACAGTAACTGCCATGGCTTCCAGTGCTCTGGTGAGACCTCAGATGCGTGGCCTTCTGGCGAAGCGTCTATGATTTCATGTTGTTGGAGCAGTCATTATATCCCTGAGTGTTGTACAAGTTTCTGTAAGTTTGCTGTGGCTTAACCAAGAAAGAAGGCATATTGCAGATTTCTACAGAAATTATGATTCCATGAATGATTTTGAAGAGATGAGGAAGGCTGGTATCTTTCAGAGTACAAAGTGATTTTGGAATGTAAAGAATGTCATTGCATTGGTGCCATGTTCCTGAACTATGAAACATGAATACATGGGCTAAAGAATAGTTTCTCTTGATAAATTAAAAAAAAAAAAAAAAAGAAAGAAAGAAAGAAAGAAAGAAAAAAAAGAAAAAAGGAAAAAAAAATCATTAAAGGGTTGGCCTGGGGGACCAGTAGGTGGTGTGATCGTTAAGGTGCTAGACACACCCACATGGCTGACCGCAGTTCAAGTCCTGGACCTGGTGGCTTGCTTTCTCACTTTCTCTCTCTCTCTTTCTCTCCCTGTCTCTCTCTCTCTGGTCAAATTTAAAAAAAAAGAATGAATAAATAAAATTAAATTTAAAAAAGGGTAGTGCAGAGGTTAAGTGCTACACCCAGGGAGTCAGATACCACGTGGCTGGCCACAGTTCACATACTGGCCCTGGTAGCTTAGAAAATATGTATGCCCAAATCCCAACAAGATAGGATCGTGGTATGACCATGCCCAGTTGGGGGGTGATTTCTCTCTT